CTGAAGACGGCCTTGTGCAGCTCCTCCCTCAAGTACTCCCTGCATGCCTCATATGAGGAGGGCAACAGCCTCCTTCTGAAGGTGGTGCATGCAGGCACTTGGTATGATGGGGCCATGAGCCACCTGAACCCTGGCCACTCAAATAAGAAGGGCTGGCCATCCACAGCAAGGATCTCCCCAATGCTCTGGGTGATCTCACTCCCCTTTGTAATGCCCTCTTTCCCCCACTGTTCCAGTGTGGCCTGCCTCTACTTTGGGGGATGGGGGCTTTGGAGCAAGGGGGACTTCCCTTTGGCCACGCTCCCACTGGTGCCAGGCTGAGGAGGAGCAAGTGCAAGAGGGATGCATCAGCATGCCCATGGTGGTCACGTGTTTTGTTCCCTTGCCCTGGCAGTGCAGGCAGATAGCATATCTGGGATCATCTGCTAGCTCAAAATGATTCCAGACCACACTACCCACTCGCTTCTGGGGTATGAGCGCACATACAGATGCTGCCTTTTCCCCCTCCTCAGCAGGCAGAAGCACAGCAACAGGAGCAGACTCAGCTGAGCCACTTGCCTCTACAAGCTCTACCTCAACCTCCTCCAAAGTGCCTTCTGGGGAAGACCTGGTTCTAGGGGAAACTTGAGGGGTATGGAGCACAAACTCACATGATTCCCCCCTTCCCCAGAATTTCCCATGCTATGGCACTCAGACCCAGCTCCAGCTTTTCCTCTTAGCACTGGAAAGCTCAGCAAGGGAAGTAGAATCAGGGTGGAGGAGACTGTCATGTTGGTGCTGCTGCTTGTTGCCATGGTGGTAGTGGGGGGTTGTTATGACTGGTGCTCTTGGAGGAGATGCAGACTAAGGCACAGGCAGTGCCACTGCTCCCCTCTCCTTGCTGTCTGTAGAAGTAGTGGAAGCCTCATGCCTGCTTGCTGTAGCAAAAAGGCTGCGTGTCAGTCTTGTTTTTGCCTTGGTCTGCTGAAAAAATCTGTCTTCTTCTGTAATGTTATCTGATTTATGTAATATATGTAGATAAGATAAGATAATTGTATGCATGTGTATTTATGTAACGTATGTATTTATGTAATAAATAACATACAGACATTTATATATTTTGTGTTCCTATAAAAGTTCTATAATAAACAATATAATTCACTGTGCAGGGAAGCATAGCTTAATGGAATGCACATTGTGAGACAGCAGAGATTTGAAAAGAACCAAAACAGACTAACAAAAACAAAAAAAGAGGATTTTGGGGAGGAATAAATTGAAAGAAATCAATGAATATAATAATAAAATAAAAGGGTATAGAAAGTAAAAGGTATTGATGAATCCCACTTGCTAGGCTAGCAAGTAGGAAACGAACGGTAGCCTTTATTGTCTGACGCTGCTGGAAGACTGCTCAGTAACTGACCCCAAGGCGGAAAGCAGCTCAGTTAAACTATGCCGCTTTTTTTGCCGTTTTTCCATCCCTACCCTAGAGCACTGGACTGGAAGGGACCTTGGGGAAGGAACAGTCACTGGCCAGCTACACAATCAATATTGGAGCAGTCCTTCCCCCCCGCCCCTCTCCTTAGTTTCCCTGCAAGCAAGCCCATCTTCAGCTTCGAAAGTTAATAGGGGCATCCTCCTGGGGCCTGAGTTTGAAGCGCTCAAGTTATTTTCTATGCTAGTATATAAGCTATCAGAAAGATTTGGAGCTGTGTTGGTGGTTGGAGCTAGTAGGAATCTAAATCCAAGTTTAAAGCACAGGTTATTAGAGCTTTTGAGCATAGAGAGCACATATGTACTTGTATCCCACTGCTTGGAGGAAGGATGTGGGGCAAGGCTCCTGTGCTCCTTTTACTCCTGTGCAAGGGGATCTCACAGCTAGTGTCAGTAATTCCAGCTGAGGGTTTCTCCAAGCTCATTTTCATGCTCATAGTTCTAGGGAATTCACACCTGCAGCTGAATTTGAGGTTGCTGGTTCCTGTTATAGTAGCTTACTTGTAAAGGCCACCCTTTTAAGCTGGTGCACCACAAATAGGCTTGGTATGCTCTTGGAGGACCACCTTCCCTTTCTGCTGCTTTACTTTCTGTCCCCTACTGTATCTGCCACTGTGCTATCTCCCCCATACTCCATCTGTTACAGCCCATACAATGAGACTACCTCCTGCTACTTATGATACATGGGCCACAGGCTACGTTTGGTATTGATGGTTGGGGTTGTCCTATGTAAAGCAGTGGTTCTCTGCTGTAATACCACAGCATCTTCATGGGATTTAAACTTCTTATAGACTTATTTTTCTGAACAACTCACAAAGGGGATCTGCTGGCAAGCCAATACTGCAAGAAGTCCATCATTCAGCCTACCAACTAACACAACTTTCATAGAAAATTCCTTTCCTTGGAGTAAGGCAACAGAGGATAAATGAAAGGGAGCAGCTGCTTGAACAGAAGGTAGATCCAAGATAGTTGGTGTGCCAGCATTTCTTTTTAAGGATAGTGCTTTTTAAAACTAGTTACTTTCAAGAACAGAAGAAACTTTACAGAGCGTCAAGCTGTTGCTTGCTTGTTAGGTATACTCTTACCCAGTTTTGACATATGCCCCATTTCATGCTCTACCAGAAAGGAGGACTAGAAACAGTGTCTAGGAAACAGCCATTTAATTTCTTTTACTGCATTTGTCATCTGATTAGGACCACTCAGTTGTAGTCCCTACCCACTCAGTGGCTTGAGCAGTAGGAGCTGCAGACCAGTCTTCAGTGGCAGGCTGGGCACTCCAATCTTCTGAAATGAAGGAGATAACCATAAGGTAGTTCAATAATTGTACCCCTGTACTCTTGTATACATATTTAGAGGGGCAAGAATAGCCTTAAAACCAACACAATATTTTTCTGGGGCTCCAACTTAAAGCTGAACTAAAACAAAGTTTAGGTGCTTCCTCAAAATTAGCTATACAAAACTCATTGTACCATGTACCCAAATAAAGGACATCATTCCTGACTTTTAGCCATAAAATATGGAATTTTCTGCAAACATTCAAGTTGCCCCATTACTCAAGTTAAGACATATAAAGCACACTGCCCTTCAAATGATTGTTTTTCCAACAGTTGAACTTTCACCCAGTTTTTAAATAATTCTCAGAACTCACCAGTCGGGAACTGCTGGATTGGCACAGACGGGACCTGCACCCCCTCAGACCAATCCGCAACCTCAGGCTGAGGAGGAGCAGTGAATTCAGGTGCTGGGGCTGTCCATTCAGTCTGGAACTCCTCCTTAGTAACTGCCTTTTCTGCTGCAGCCTGTTCCTCTTTTTCAATCTAAGAGAGAGAAGAGTGTGAATCTCTGGGACAGAAGGAGCCGCTCTTTCTATATCACATAGTCTGCAATAAGAGACCTCCAACTAAAGGCAACTTAAACCTAAAAGCTGAAGTGAAGCTATACAAATAAGATACTGCATAGCAAAAACAGATCTGATTTAACCTTCTGGTCTACCATATACAACGGTGGATACATATAAATGTCAACTCATCTGAAGTGACTCGAAACAACTACTCCTGTTTACATAAGGATACACCACACCAACCAATTCATGAGTTCCTACCTCCTCAGGATCCCTGTAGAAGTACAGATCAGGCATGACTTCCCATGGGTGTTCACGAGAGATAGTGCCACGCATACGCAGAACCTCACGGGCCAGCATCCACCACATCAGACCCACAGAATGAGCCCCCTGCAACATAAAAGCCAAGTAACATCTACCCTTCCATTCCAAGTAGCACATGCATCTTGTATCTCTACAAGGTTGAGCCGAAGATATGCTACCCAATCCAAGCATCTTTTACTACCACAAACAATATGGGCTTTTCAAGCCAGCTGGTATCTTCTCTGAAACCCTTCCCCAAGTGTACTTCCCCAGAGTGCAAGACAGTATGAAGTATCTGGTTGCACAGGTCATGCTATATATACACCCTTCCCATACACCTTGATATTTAAGGTAAAAAGATTCATTAGGTAACCAAGGTAAACATGCAATTAATCCTTTCATCTTTTGTAGCATAATATCTGGGAACCATTTATAGAGAATAGGATGATGTTTGCATTTTCTCCTTTTCAGCCGCTAAGCTCTCACCTTTGCAATGCGTCCGGACAGGTGAATGCAGATGCTTTCCCCCCCACAAAATTCTTCATTAGCAGTATGATTCAACTTTTAACCCTTCAAGTGTCTTGTTTTCTGCTGTGACAAGAATCACCATCAAACTCCACTCATTGGACCAAAAAAGGTCCTTGTGGTGTTAGCGAAAAGACCTGTCCAGTTGCTATAGCACACATCCTACACTCAAGAGTTCATTAGCCAGAAACTGGCTTCAGCTCTGAGCTCTAACAGTGTGCAAGTGAACCTCATAACACACAATTAGATAAATTGGTGATACCCAACTCCTTTCAGCACTTTTCCATACTATAGACTGTTTTACAGAATAGGTGCTGAATACAGAAGCCAAGTGCTCACCTTGTTGTTGCATGGGATGGCAATATCCACATAGCGCAGTGGGGAGTCTGTGTTGCACAAAGCAATCGTGGGGATGTTGACATAAGATGCCTCAGTCAGTGGCTGATGATCAGCCCGAGGATCAGTAACCACCAAAAGGCGTGGCTCACGGAAAGCAGCCTGGATCTGGTTTGTGAAGGTCCCAGGGGTGAAACGGCCAGCAATAGGTGTAGCTCCAGTAGCAGCAGCAAACTTCAGTACAGCCCGCTATGGAGGAGACAGTGTGAGGATTAAATAAGGGATTTTTTTTTGTTTAACCCAGATACAAAGGTTTTTACCCTAGTTCTGCTGTACATTTCTTAGGGACATTTTAAAAAGAGCACAGTATACTTACTGTCAGAAGTTAAACATGCTTCAAATTAATACCTTGTTTATCTCAGGCAATCATGGCTTGAGCAGTTTGGTTTGTGGCAGTGATCACTATCAAACTCCAGTCACAGAGGAAACCTCTCCTGGTGTTAGCGAAAATCCTGCCATGGCTTTCACTTTAGCACACTTCCGACACTTGGGAGTTCATTGGTCAGAAACTGACCTCAGCTCCAAGCTTTAACAGTGTGCATGTTAAATGCCTAATTAATCGATACATAACATTACTCTCTACCCCGTACACTTTTAAACCATAAAAGATCTGTCATATCACTATAGCTTCAAGCCACTTCTTGGCACCTCTTCAATCACCAAAGAGTATATATGGACAAACACAAGATTTAACAGTGACCACAAGCTGGCTTTAATTTGAATGATAAAATCCCTCATGTATCAATTGTCTTAACTCATTCATGAAACAAGTGACAGTAAATGTACTTTGTAATCTTGCTTCATGTACTTTCATGAAAAGTTGAAAGCAATTCAGGAAGTGAGAGAGGACATGTCATCCATCCATAACTTTAGTTAATGTCCAGTAGACTCCCAAGAGGGCTGTCTTGGGGGAAGCAGCAGCCATTATGTTAGGGACTTAAAGACATGTACAAAGCAAGAGCCAATTCCCCAACCCAGATTCCAAGAAACAAAACCACACATGCAAAAACAAATTTAAAAAAAGAACCCGCCACACGCACCAAGGGCATTATTACATCATATATTTACTCAAAAGTCTGGAACTACGTGGTTTATACCAGCATTGCTTGCATCTTTTTTTAACATGCATACAAATTACACAGTGATGCAATCTAGCTGAGAGCTGCTGTAGATGTTGCTGTTAAGGTATACCACGAGGTGGCAGTAAAGCAAAGAGCTTGCTTGCATCGGGCAGGGTAACTCAATACAGTGCAGTATCTTCACATGCACAGCTGTATTGCTCTTTTCATCCCCATTCCAGTAAGTTATGCTCCAGTATACTATACATCATGCTGACATGTGTAGTTATCTAAGATTTGTCTATTAATCTTAGATGCCTTTATTTCTGCCTATTTCATGCCATAGTGATCTCATATCCAAGGTGATGTTGGCCTTAAGGAACACAAAGGATAGCAGATCAGGTATCATTCAACTTCAACCTCCAGAACAAAGGCCTCTCTCTCTCCCTGAAACTTACTCGTAGGACTCAAAGAATTCTTATAAATGCCTATTTCATCACCAATGCGAAAAAAAAATGAATCCTGTGGCAGCGTCAGATTTGGGGTGATCTCTGCAAATAACCTGTGATCAGCATACCCAACACTGCAGAGACCCCAGGTGCTCCAAGTAGGCTCCATACCTGTCCAGTATTTCTGGAAGAGATGACGCTCACATCAGCTGGGTTTTCAATGGCAACAATGGCACGAGCTGCCAGCAAGAGCTTTTCCCAGGTCCTCTTCAGATTGATAATGTAGATACCTATGATTGACATAAGAATTGGTAAATAACCAAGACTGTTCTAAATGGAGCCAGACCCTGCGCAAATGTAAGTTTGCAACTATTACACCCCAGTCAGAGGAGAATGAGGAAGCCTCTCCCAGTGCTAACAAACATGCTGGCATGCGGTTTTCCTGTAGTACTTCCCACCCGCAGCCAAGTGTTCAGCAGAGCAGCAGCTGTCCTCACCCCTGCACTTCAAGCCCAATGGTCAATAATGACCAGACACTAAGAGCATCCAACTCCAGGCCTCTGCATTTGATTGGTGCTGGCACCTTTGGGGGAACCAAAAATCTGAGCATTTCAACAAGCTGGTGCCCACTTGTGAAAAAAATAAAGTATAAGATTCTGCCTTCTTAAAGCACCACAACAAGGGACCTCGGAAGATCACTGGATCCAGCCCTCTGCACCAAACAGGAAAGATAACTGGGGGTCAGGTGACCCCAACAAGGTGACTGTCCAGTCTCCTCTTGAAGATTTCCAGGGTAGGTGATTGCACCACCTCTGGAGGGAGCTTATTCCACAGTCTGGACACCGACTGGGAAGAAGTTTTTCCTAATGTTGAGCCTGAATCGATCTTCCAGGAGTTTGTGGCCATTACGCCTGGTTTTCCCCTTGGATGCCCTGGTGAACAGTTGCTCGCTGAGCCCTTGATGTACTCCAAGTGTAGTGGTAAGCTGCTACCAGGTTCCCCCTCAGCCTTCTTTTCCTCAGGCTGAAGAGTCCCAGATCCCTCAGTCTTACATAGCAAGCCATACAAGGAAAAAATCTGATCATACACGTGGCTCCTCTTTGGATGCTATCAAGCTTGTCCACATCCTTGTTAAAGTGCGGTGCCCTTCTGACCTACAAAGAACAAGTGCTGCCAACTCTCATGATTTTGATGGGCTTCTTAAAAGCCTAAGCTTTGGGAATGTGAAAAAAACTTAGTTATATGTATATGGGGGAGTTGCACGTGTAAAAGTTATGATTTTTACATTAATCATGCACTGGCAATACTCAAGAACCACTGGGGGTGACGGGGTGGATATAGAGCAGCAGTCCCTACACAACCAGGGTGCACAGGACAAGCTGCAGCAGGGACACAGCTGCCTTGGGGGCTGCAGGCAAAGGACTGGGGTCTCATCTATTTAGTTCAATTTTGCTGACAACACACAAATAGAAACCGTGATGTTGGCTGTCTCTTTCAGTGCCTGCCAGGCTCCCACTCAGCCCTGAGGGCCCCCCCAGAGGCTGCCCAGACTCCACTTCCTCCAGAGGCTGCTCAGAGACGACCCCCCACCCACAACAAGGAGCTGCGTACTTGCCATCGCTCTTGCGCTTGTAGATGTACTGCTCCATCTGGAAGTCGAGGTTGGTGCCGCCCAGATGCGTGCCAGCCGCCAGAAACTTGAGCACGTCCTCCTCCTTCATCTGCAGCACGTCCAGGCCCCCGGACATTGTGGGAGGTTCCCCTTGGAAGCGACGACAGGGAACAACCTGCGGCAGCGGCGGCAGCAGCGGGTGAGCCCGGGT